GGGGTGGGGGTGTTAAACATTGATCTACCAATCTTTAGTCCCGAGCAAGCTCTCAAGCCAGTCCCTTTGCTTCGCAAAGCAAACTCAAGGTAGTCCTTACCAGGCTACCTTTCGTGAAAACCATCACAAAATATAAGCAAACTTGTGCCCAAGCAAGGAAGACTTCCAAAAACCAAGGAGTCGGTGGCAAGGAGCCCCTCTTTCTCTGCAACCGTGTCCCCACAGTTCTTTTACAAAGTGGGTTGCTCTCCGGGATATTTTAAGCTTGCCTCAGGACATCGGCCCCTATTAAACGTAGCAGAACTCATGGCTCCAGTCAAAAGTTTATCTAACAAGCTTTTCAATATTCAAAACCTTCAAAAAACCAAGTCCGGGAAATTACGCCGGAGTTATGGGACATAACGCCAGAGTTACGGGAATTAACGCCGGAGTTACGACGCGCCATTTTTTTTGTGCAACTGCTTGCAAAACATTGAGATTCTGAACAAGGCACGTTCCACAACCCAAAACTTGTCCGGCAGGCTCTGCCTGCAAACCTGCGCAGCTAGAACTATATCCCAGCGCCCCGACATCCTGTAACAAAGGGAATGCATTATCGCCTATGTATGCCTATGCTCTTTCAGCTTAGGCACACCCACTTGCGTCTTCCAACGCGTGCATCCCACTGTGCCGAATTCATTTAGAAGATCACCAGTACGGATCTGATTGAACCAGTGTGAACCACTGCTGAAACCGGTGGAATGAGAAAACAGCGGAACAAGCAAACGAGCCCAGTTTGCAACCAAAATCATTGCATCAGTAGCAGATTTACCTTCAAAATACGCGGACCACAAAGAATGCAAAGCCTTGAGAATCCACATAAAGTGAATTGGAAAGACTGCCGGGCCAAATCCGGAAAAACGCCGGAGTTGGAAGTCCGGCGCTGGACCCAGTAAAAGTGCCATACTGAAGATCTAGGAGTGCTGTATACATCGTATATCGTACATCTATAGAGGTATTTCTATAAATCAACATATATATAATATATTACCATAGAATACCATAGATACATCATGATACATCGATGATGTAAAACATAAACACAATTCTAGTAATTAGGGGGCCTGTATTCATCGTCTCCATTCTCTTTCGTTCACCTTGGCCGATCGCCGACCCCACCGGTCACCGCCCCGGGCGCCCGGGCATGGTCTTAGTGATCCGCAGCACCTCTTCCGGCGTGGTGTGCGGTTCCTGCACCGGGGGCCGGGCGGGTTCCCCGTTTGATCTACCCTGGTTCCTCACAGGAGCCAAGCAGGGCCCAGTGGCATCTGGAGGTTTGCATGACGACTTGGTACATACCACGGCCCAGTGGCACATCCGGAAGAAATGCATTGCTGCATTGACATGGTACTACGTGTCTGGTCAAAGTGGCAGGATGGAAGAATAGAACACCTTGGCAATGTCAATGGACGAATCACCTTTAGTTGATCAACAGTCCATCCCACACCTCCAAAGGATGTGCAACTCCAACTTGTGCAACTCCAACTTGTAATCCAAGGCTGTTGAATTATTCCAAGGCTATTATTCATCATCTTTTTCCCGATGAACTTTCAGCTGCCCTCTCAGGCACAGAATGGAATAGACTATGGAAGCATGTCAACATTGCATGCTTTGAGGGCTATAGGCTATAAGTATTTGACCCACACTCATGTCAGATGTTTCAACCCTGCAGTATTTGTTTCCACCGGTCACGCCTGCACCTCCTGCTCATAGGTTCTCAGGATGCCTAGGGGCGCATATCGAGTGGAGTTCGGATCCTTTGAGATACGAGGGGAGTCGCTGGGTCGGCTGTTTTCAACATAGGCCAACGCGAAAGACACATCCCGGTAACTGGCATGATTGAAAACAAAAGCCAAAACATAATTATATAAGCATTTCCATGCATTTGCAGTTCTAAACACCATCACCAATGGACCATGAGAAGTTGCATTTGCTGCAAGGCCTGGCCGAAGTCATCGACTTGATCGCGGGTCAGGACTGGTGGTTTTTCCGAGGTCCTAGCCGTCATAGCCAAGGAGCTGATGCAATCGCTGATGCAGCACAGTGCAAAATTTGCATTTCCAGCAACACAGTTGTGGCTCCCATCCACATAGTTGGTCACCTGGGAAGCCACGGGTTCGAAGGACTCCCAAACGAACGAGCTAAGAAATAGTCCTTGCCAAATCCAGTAAGCCTACTTTTATTAAAAAAAGTTCATATGGTAAGGCCAGAATCCGCGATTAAAAAAAACAAAGTCAACTGGAAAAGTCAAAGTCAAAAAAAAATCAAATTGAACAGTTAAAAAAAAGGTCAAAAAAACAGTCAACCATAGACCACAGCTCGAAAAAGTCAAAAAAAAAGTCGAAAAAACAGTCAAAAAAAAGTCGAAACAAGTCAAAAAAAGTCAAAACTGTGGCTCCTCGCCTTGGCGGATTACTGGAGTCAAGAAAAGTCAAAACAAAGTCAACCGTAGACCACAGCTCGAAAAAGTCAAAAAAAAAGTCGGAAAAAAACAAAAAAAAACCTAAAAAAGTCAAAAACAAGTCGAAAAAACAGTCAAAAAAGTCAAAAAAAGGGTCGGATCTGGGCAAATTGACTTTTTTTTGACTTTCTGAAATTTGCTGATTTGTTTTTTTTTTTTACTTTGACTTTTGGGATTGACTTTTTTAAATTTAGAAAACAGGCTCTTTCCAATGAAAGTTTTTGATAAGCCTACTTACTTAGGCCAAACTTACTTTTGGGGAACATACATGATGGTCAGTGCGGGAGTTTCCCGTAAAGCCTGGTCAAGCGCCCAGGCAAAGAACCAAAGCTCTTTTAGCTCCCAGCTCAGAACAACACATCGAATGCTTCAGAGAAAGTTCAGGGAGAACTTCAGGTGCGTCCTCTCTTGCGTCCTCTCTTCGTTCCATGAAGCTACAGACTGCCAGTCACACACACCAAAAATAGTAATGGTTGATCAACGGTTGTCACACACAGTCTCTCTCCCTCTCGATGTAACGTATGTATTATACATATATAGTTATATGCAAAAATGGACCCTTCATGAACCTTCCAACTACATTCTGCCTACAAACCCCATACCCTTGCCTGCAATATGTTTGGAAACACCTCACAAAGCGGCACGAAGCCCTGCTCAGCATCGCACGATCACCGAGGGATTCTTCGGATAGAATGTATCGATAGCATCAAGCTTCTGCAAGTACCTCGGTACTAGGCTACAGTTCCACACGTTGCCATTCAGGAATACTGTACAGTGCCGAACAAATCAACATGACTCGTCCGTTGAGGTGACGATGCGAATCCAAAGCTGGTATCCAAGGGTTTTGGTTGATTTTTCTGACCCCGAAATGGTCCATGTGCATAGATTATGGATGATTATGGCAAAAAATTGCCCACATTCACCAGAGAGATTAACACCTAAAACCATCCAAAGGAGCCACCGTGGCCGTGGAGTCTTTGGGTTGGGCTTTGATGCTTACCTACAGCTACCTACATGTGTGGCTAACCTTGTGTGGCTCACTGCGGCTCTGCTCGGAACGTTTCATAGAACGCTGATGCTGGAGGAACTCCTAGTAGCTTCTTGTTACTAGTAGTAAGGCACTTGTTACTAGAAGCGATGCACTTGTTCCTAGTAGCTTCTTGTTTCTAATAGCTTCTTGTTACTAGTAGTAACGCACTTGTTACTAGAAGCGATGCACTTGTTCCTAGCAGCTTCTTGTTTCTAATAGCTTCTAGGAACGCCTCAAAACTTGGTGAGAATAACTTAGGAGGGCCCAGAATGTGTACAATCTGCTTATACCCTAGGGCTCCTGGCCTGCCTACCTCCTGAGGTGGTTAGGTTGGGTGCCAGGGGGGTCTAACCAGCTTCTGAGGATATGGGCCAGGAGCCCTAGGGACATAAGTTGCAACGTTGCTTGTATACAAAAGCTCTCAACTAATACCAGTAAGCAGTAGGCCCAAACCCGCGGGTGAACAGTCAAAGAAGCAGGGAATCTTCCAGAAGCTCTACTTCAAGCAATCTTCCGCCCGAAGTGCAAGGATTCATCTTCAAAACCATTCAATACCACACCAACTCTTGACAGCTGTCCCGCTACTTGACACAAATATACATGAATGAACAACCACACTTGGGGAGGGTTGCTGTGCCGTGTATGTGTTTTCCAGACTGAAAGGGATTCGAATGTGTCTTCGTTTCTCCCGACCTCCCTTCCCATGCAGCCCACGTGGCCCTACCAGGCTTGGATATTCCCGGAACCAGGTGGTCTGCGAGTCCGCACGGCCAGGAGATCAGTGGAGGCCCGGGGGAGAGTCATGCTCAGCCGTCGGGGGATACTGTAGTGAAGAGTGTACTGGTCCAACTGGTCGTCCTCTCCTCTCGGGCCTTCAGCACTATGGATGAAATTGATGCAACATTGAACATGACGCCTGCATGATGCGCATCTTTTCCATCCAGGAAGCGTGTTTCACGCATGAAGCACCTTCGCTTCTCACCTACCTCCCATTTTGTGTCCAAAGCCCGCAACCAGCGACCAACCAGGCCATCACCAGCGACCAACCAGGCCCCGCTGTGCCTCCTTGCTGTGAGCCTCAGTTGCCAGGGTCCGGTGGCTTGATTCAGGTGGCTTCTGCTTTAGGGACTTGAGAGAGTGCAAGTTGATTGCAGGATATCCATGTCTTGGACAAATGGGGGTCCATATCAACCACCGAACTTGGGTCTGTGCCATCTGCTATGAAAACAATGTAACAAATGGACAGATTATAGTCAAACCCGGACACTAAGCAGTAATTGTTCTGCTTACTGCGTCTGGAAATGGGTGATTTTAACACCAATTAAGGAAAAGACCCTGGTTAGCAGAAAATAGATCCAGAAAAAGGAATGGGAGGAAAAATGTTGCAAAATCTGCAAAATGGGCTGGTTGTTCTATCTTGTTGTTGTATAAAATTTTGGTGATGTGTGTGTGTGTGCGCGTGTCTGTTTAATATCTGTAAAAAATAAATATATAGTACAAAATGTTTCTTTATATGTCTGTCATACTCAAAAGGCACACTATATTCTGTTGCAGTCACGGCTCTTGCTCCAATCCCCGTGCATGGAAGGAGACAAGTCAAAGAGAAATGTCTTTTTGCTTTGGCCAAATCCCACCTTCAAACAAACCCTAGCAAGCAGAAAGTGTTAACAAATGGACCGGAACATGAGTCTCTGCCCACATGTTCACTTTCCCAGTGCGAGGGGAAGTAGGAGGTTGGTCTACCAAAGTGCCCATGTTCCAGTGTCTGGCTAGTGCCCCCAACAGTGCTCATTGCTACTGTGCATTGCTTCATGAGCCTTTCCCATCCGAAGCACGGATGCAATCTCAGCAATGTCTTGATAGTGTCACTTGGGCCTCATTCTGAAAGAAATCTATATAATATTGGGTCTATCCTACTACCAGCAACAGTGGATGATGGTGGTTAGTAAAGCTGTTCTCTAAAATAGTGATAATCTGTGTACTGGCTGTCACAGGTATAATGGGACAACCACAATCTATATAAGTTTTCATGGCAGGCCTGGGCCTTCATTGCGAAAGATCATGACAGGTCCACAAACAGTCACATCTCACCCCTCCCTGCCCCCAATACAGTATATCATGTGGACTGTTGATTGATCAATGCATTAACGCGCAAAAAGGGGCTTTACAATCCAAATGTGGCGGTTATGGTATTCATCAACCGTCGACATGGGCTGATGTGTTTTGACACTTCAGCAGCACCTCTCTCAGTTTGACACCTCCGTCGATCCTCTTTTTCACCGGGTTGCACTGAGATTGAGGCGCCCAGGGTGTCTTCCTCCCGGAGCTCTCCCTTCCAGTGTCTGCATGTGCGTCTTCATATCTTGACCTGCAGGATGGTAATCGTTCCTCCCATCAAACCGACGGTTTTGAAGGTGAGGACTTCTAAAGCCCAGGTGAAAGGTGGCATGTCAGTCGTGAGGCTTTAAATGGAAAGACCTACATAATCAAATCCATCTTGCCGTAGCTGGCAAGCCTGAAGACAAGGAATACATGCCTCGAAGTAGCACAACAAGCACCTTGTACGTTAAGGATGAATATTGTTCTGTTTGTTGTCAGTTTTTTTTTCTGGGATTTGTTTCATGATTTTTCCCCTACTGTTTTTGCTTTTGCTTCTGCTGGGGGTGCTTTTCAAAAACTAGGAGCAGCAAAAAGGGCAGGGGACGAAGCACCAAAGCCAGCGTGACAGTGACAAAGGGAGGGAACAGAAAAGGTATCCCACTTACTAGGGACTTCTTTGCGGTTGTCTTTAGGCTTCACTGGTTTCGGGCTTCTTTGGGCTCGGTTTCTTGTCTTTAGGGTTTCTTTGGGCGTTCTTCCGGAAAAGGCATCCCACTTAACGAAGGAGAAGTAGGAGTGAGGAAAGAGGAGAGAGGAACTATAATAGGAACTTCTTTGCGGTTGTCTTTGGGCTTCAGTGGTTTCGGGTTTCTTTGGGCTAAGGAAAGTAGAAATCCACCCTTTGTGGTAGAGTCAACGCAAAGAAAATAGTAGTTGTGGTAACTGTGATAAGACTCGTAGCGGGGTGGTCCAAGTGATAGAGGTATTGGAAATAGTAGGGGTGGTGGACGGTAGTGGGAACTATTAAAAAGCGGGAGGGGGTGCGGGAGGGGGTGCAGGGGAGGGCGCAGCGCCTCCCCCGCAATGCAAATCAAATATAGACAGCGCTGGGCTGCTTCGTTTCTTGATTGGTGTAATTGGGTGTCAAAGCTCAAGGTGAAGGTCTTATCATCCAACTGTGTGGCAGTGTCAATGCAAAGAAGATAGTCAGCAGAAGCAAAAGCAGAAGCAAAAAGCAAAAGCAGAAGCAAAAAGGAAAAGCAAAAGCAGTAGGGGAACAAACGCAAAAAAAAAGTCACGGAAAAAAAAAACGAACAAATATCCCAGAGAAATACCGGTTCCTACGTTAACGGGCACGTTTTTGCTCGGAATGCGTTGACCGACCAAGGCCTGATCCTTTGTCGCTGCTCCATCTTAGAAACTACACAGAGCTGCTGAAGAAGGAATGGCTTGGTGGAGCCCACATGAGTCCACACACCATGCTCTTTACATCTGCATTGGCACTCCACAAGCATGGCTGTGGCCCAACAAACAAAACGGACCCAATAAGGAACCGCTCATTCGTCCAATAAAGGAGCTCCAGCATGGGAAGAGAAATGGAAAGACCGGCTCAGGCATGACCAAGACTGGCCTCTCGCCCACCCAGACTTCTTCCCGTCTCGGATTTGGTGTCCAAAGCACAATCCAAGTTTTGATAGTTGCCATAGCCCAAGAAGAGCGCTAAATAGATGGGCAACGCTGTCTTAAAGGAATACACCGGTGCCTGTGCGCGAATCCGAGCCAAGAGCTGTTGCGGTTCGCACACAGCTCCACGGCAACGGCTTTGGCATCTGAGAAGCACATGATGAAGCAACAAGGCATGGGTTGATATCGCGTTGAAGAACTGATCCCCACCAAACCCAAAAATTTGTCATAATGTAGCCTTTCTGGACGACTCTACACGACAATCGACAGTAATTCTGATTGGGCCCGGAACGGCCTTTCCTATAGATGTTCCTCCTTCTCCACAAGCTTTGGCCGATCGATCACAGAAAAGGCATGAAAAGGCAAAGCTCAATGTTTCATGGACACAGAATGGCTGTCTTACAAAGATCCGTTTCCAGCGGGATTTACACTCCTCCTAGGCATGGACGCAACATGGACAACATGGTAATAGGGTTGAAACAGGCATGTTGCGGCGAGTGATGTGGCTGCTAAACAATCCGAATGAAAAGTATCTCAGTATCTCCATTAAACCACGAGGAATGGTCGCGTTTCATTCACTGCGCTCTGATGTTGAAACTTTATGCAAACCCTCCATCCACGTGATCTCTTCATCTCCTTGTCTCCTTAGCCCAAGAGGCCGGTGGCAGGGTCTGCTGAGAAAGTTTCAGGACAAACTTCCGCAGATTCCACCAGGATTTGATATGACCCATGGCGAAGTCCTGTCCAATACCTGCAGTACTTGGAGAGGTCCAAAGACCAGAAGCTACTAGTAACAAGGGCATCGCTACTAGCAACAAGGAAAAAACTACTAGTAGCAAGAAGCTACTAGTTGAAAAACATACAGTATCTCCAACCATGGACGACGTGCGGTCTGGTCAGACCGGCGTACGTTCAAGACAAGCAGAGTACGGGTGCTGAGTGAGAGGCAGTCAGGTGGACATGCCATGCTTGAGAGTAAACAAAGAATATCACATCAAATGTCTGGGTCGGCTTTAACCATACTTACTATATATATATATGAATGACAAAAACATAAACATACGGTAACCTATTACACTGCATTTAAAACAGTTCAATGCATAATCATGTAAATGGGTGTAAACCATTTCGCATAATCTAACACATCCCTAAATGGTTAAGCAAAAAAGCGATCTATCATTTTTGCATGCACGTTAAATTTGCATGTCAAATGATTTGTGGCATTATTGGTTCTTCCTTCCAGGGAGGAAGTAATTCAATCTAGTTCTCCCTTTAAGAAACTCCAAGTTTCCAAGTGTTTCATCTAAAGCTAACTAATCAAACCAAGCTCCCACACACAAGCATCTGCAAGCATCTCTTACTTGTTACTTCTAGGATCTTCTAGGAAAGCCAAACATGTGCAGAGTCCAAAAGTAAGATTCTCTAGAGACGCCTTTGCAATCCCGCTTCCTATTTCCAGAAAATGCTTCAACATTTAGAATTTTCCCAGGCGCCTGGTCGAGATGCAAGATTCTCCAGGAGATGTCCACGCTGCAGTGGCATAAAAGCTCTTAAATCCTGTACTTAGGCGTACTCTGACCAACAAAAACCATCAAAAAACCTGTATGTTGAACTATGTTGAGCTAGGCTATAAGCTTATACTTTTGCCCGATTTCAAAATGCAAGGTTTGTGGGAAAGCTTTCAGAGATAAATCAGCGAGGTTAAAGCAATTCAGAAACACTAGCCAATCTCAAGCTGACTATTTAGGCAGTCCTTTCTTAACGCCTCCTTCCCTTCAATCTAGATCAAATCGTTGGCAGTCTCAAATGTCTCAAGCTGATTAATGTGGATTGACATTGTCATTTCTATATCCCATCTATTCTACTGTACACAATGTTCCTCTTAACCAATGAATTCTCAGCAAATCCATATTAATCTTAAACCGTTGCCCTGGAATTGTACCTCCAGTCATCTGACCCACAGATATCAAACCAAATATCCCTCCAAATCCACCTCAAACGACCCTCCCCACCCCCAGACATCTCCAAAGGATCGTTGTTTTGGATCGATCCGTACGGATCCTGCATCGAACAAACTGGGCCCAGCGGCGGAAGCGCTCGTGGAAGGCGGGAGAGGCGCCACGCTTCAGGGACTCGGAGTGGATAATCACCTGGTCCCAGTCGTGCCTGGGCCAAGCAGTGTCGTGGGAGCGGCCTAACGCACCGGAGGGAGCTGGCGGACCCAGCAGGGGCTGGCGGGCAAAGGCCAATTTTTAAGCTAAGCCTTCAGTGGTTAGGTGGATCATCCCCTCTTCTATATACATCTCATATTCTTAAGGGATTGAAAGACTGATTTGGTTCTGAGCTTACCTTTAAGGACTGTTGTTAATTGCATGGGTATGGCACGGGGCTCCAAAGCATCCTCCCAAACATATGGTATCTTTCGCGCCAAAAGCTCCAAACGCTGGGGTTGCCAATCCTGGAGGAGCACGGTGAAAAACGAAATAACTCAAATATCCCTAGGGCTCCTGGCCCATAATTATCCTCAGAAGCTGGTTAGACCCCCCTGGCACCTTCTGAGGAGGTAGGCCAGGAGCCCCAGGGCATACTCAGATTGTACACATTCTGGGCCCTCCTAAGTTATTCTCACCGAGTTTTGAGGCGTTCCTGGAGCGTCAGCCGAGTTGCGCCACCACCAGGGCTGCGCAAAACACTTCATGAAGCTCCTGCACGGTGAGAGGCTCTTGGGCGTGGATGAAAAAACAGCAATCCTCAATGGGTTTCTGCTATATTATATACATGATTATGTATACTATGATCTAATGATGTGTATGAATAAAAATCTCTCTATATATATATATTTATATATACACATATACCAATATCGATCTACAGGACCAACTCGATTTGCCCCAAGCAAATGATTTTGGATGGGCTTCGCCTCTGCCCTGCAAATGGCCAGAAACACCACGGAACGGCTGAAACCGGTGCGGGTGACCGGTGCCCTGTCAGTCCACATCATCCACAACAGGGAAAGAACACATACACACTACAAACATCACGGTTTGCAACCAGCAAGCACCACCCCCATCATCTTCAGCCTAATTTATTAACAAGTCTTAAATGGCCGTGGGTCAGGGCGACCTGGGACAGGTCTTTCCCTACGTGAAAGCAGGGTTTCCAAGGCTTTGAACCCCATCCAACCTCTCCGGGCCCGGTCCTCCCAGCTGAGCTCCGCCGAGGCGGAATGGTTCCGGAGTCGCCAGGCCACCTGCAGCGCGCTCAACGCGCGTGGAGTCGCGCCTGACAGCGCGAGACCTCGCCGCAACGCGCGTCTTTGGGAGCTGGAAGGACTTTCCAGCCGTTTTCCAGCAGGAAACAATTGGAGCTGCGGAATGTTCCCTCCGTTTTGATGTATTTCTGCGTTTCGTTTTGGAAGTAGAAACACCAGGACTTTAGGGAAGCTTGAGATCAAATGGATTCAAATGGTGAAATGCAACAGCCAAGAAGACGAGAGGTCATTGGGGCAGGACAATGAAACCAAGCATCAAAATCCTTTCATATTGCTAAAGTAATTGGTCATCCTAAGTCTTACACTGTCAATCATTGTTTCGCAAACCCTCATGAAAGACGATCCAACGTCCCGCTGTTGTGGGCTCGTTCATTGAACCCAACCCCCCTTTCCATGGAGTCACCAGCCAGGCCCTGAAAGAGCCATCGTGGGGTTGCCCAACCGACTCTAGGTCACTGACTTGAGTAAGGATCCCCAAAAGAGAGTGAATTGGGACGTTGAAGCCCAGAACACGCGCCAACTTTGCGCGCATGAACCCCAGCTATGTCTCTGCCTTGAAGGTGATCTTGACCTCCCTCAACATCAGCCTGGAGGGATGAGCAAGCGGCCAGGATACCCCCGCCGGGTTCTTGACCACGTAATCACCACCCAAAAGAAAGAACCAACAATCAATCAATCAATCAATCAATCAATCAACCAACCAATCAATAAATTTATATAACAAAACAAACAACCAAACAACCAAACAATCAATCGATCAATAAAACAATAGCAAACAAGAACACAACCACAAACCCCACAAACACGGTTCTCCTTTTGAGCTAAGGCCAACAACAACATGTGAGGCGCCCATCGGTCGGTCGGAGGCGAAGCCAATTGGCTTACCTGTATTAATAGTTAGATAATCACTGATCGATTGTAGGATATATCATAGGATGGGACAACTCTTGTTTTCAAGTAAATTAGCCAATAAATGAGATTGTAAAATGACATGACATATATATGTAAATTTGATGGAAGAGCCAGTGAAAGGTAAAAACACCTATTCATTCCTATTTGGCCAGCCACACGCACCCCGAACCCGAGAATGGTCGCTCCCGTGGCCTGTTAAGCAGCAAAGCAATGCTCGCGAGCTCCTTCAGGTGAAAGCCCTTGGAGGATTCCTGACATGTCACTGCTGTCGGCGGAAGTGCCATCCTCCAGTGCTGAAGTCACACGTCCCAGTCAGTCGGGCAGGCGTCACACTGCTTGGAAGTCGAAATCACATAATTGTTGAGTTCCAGCAAACTGAATCAACAAAACAAACAGGAATCCACAAGTCCACAAGAGACACAATCAAATATCCGAAAAATCTAAGAACATGAAGAAGTCTGACAGGCCTTTGGCCCATCATTTCCACTCGTGTTCCAAGCCCACCAGTGCCGTGGCGTTTGACCACCCGAGTGCACGGCCTGCAGCGCCGCTTTCAATTTGGGCGCCCTGCGGAGCAAGGCCAAGGACTCCAATGCCTCCGCCGCGTGACGCGGCGTGACGCGGTGAGGGTAGGGCGAGGTGGATGGCCCTTAGATTGAACAAGCGCAGTTGTGAGCATAGCGTCCATTGATAGATTGTGACATATAGTTAACATGTGGATGACATTTGGATTGGGCACCAGCAGTTTAACAGGTTCTTATTCTTTCAAACAAAGATCGGCCACCGCGCAAATAATGACAAACACCTGCAATCCTGACCGAAGAGTTTGGCCCCGGCGCTCTTCTTATCCCTTTGACCCACACTATTGTTACGTGAACTCCAAGTATATATATATGTATATATATATATGTTCGGGTACGCCTCGAAGGTTTAATAGTTTAACTAAGTGAACATGCGTGGTCTCCGAGACTCGTGAGGCAACAACGACCAGTGGGACCATTGGTGCCTCATGCAGTCGAACGAGGTGTCGAACGACGTGTCGAACGACCCAAGCCGTGGGATTTGTCCACTTTGGTCGTCAGGTGGATCTGTCCAAGCGAAAACGCCGAGCAAACGCGAGAAAGAAGGCCTGGCCTGGCCTGGCCTGTCACCCACCCAGGGGGCTGCTGCAACTACGATGGCGGATCCAAAGGGATCTTCTGCAATTGAGTTTCTTCCAGTTCCATGTGAGCATTTCCAGATCAATTTCTTCAAACTTCGATGATTGTGTCATCAAGGGACAATCTGTGTTCCGGCCTGTGCATTGGGATCTCGCTGAGACGTGTGAAACTGCAGGCCTGCCCAAAGGAAGGCCAGAGCAGGGTGGCGCCACCAGGGTTGGCTGAAAAAGGTTCAAGCTCCACCAGATCCAAATGCATGTCTTGGGTCTATCCTAACACCTGTAACAGCAGTGGATGATGATGGTTAGTAAAGGCCATGTCCAAAAATAGTAATAACATGTAATAACTGTCACTAACTGCTGCAGGTAAATAATAAGACAGACCCAATGCAATGTCTGCTTACAGTAATCTTTGTTGGTTTTGAGGGAACATTCAAGAATTTCCCATGGTGAACTTCCACGTTCTTCAACCCAACTGGGAATTCTTCGCTCAACAGCCAACAAGTAGAAAAACTGATTGATTTAACTTAAGGACATGCATGCTGCATGCTTAAACCACCTCTGGTTTAAAATCTGTCTCTTTGGCTTGTGTATGTCTTAACCACCCAAGCCGCTTGGGTAGTTAAACATGTTTAAACGAGTTCAATCCGCTTAGACCAGCAAACAGGTTGTTTTTTGTGATGTTGCTTTTATTTGTTTAACCCGGCCTTTCTGCTGCACACCTGGTTGAAACCGTCGGGTTCAAATGGCTGCAACAAATCAGCTTGGCCCCGCCTCAGGGTCAAGGAAGCAACTTGATAGCTTCAAGCAGACTTTGCAAGCCCATGGCTTGCAACAACATCAGTATTCAATGAAAGCCAACCCCCACCGTGGTCGTTTCGACATGGATTCTTCACGGTTTCGGGTCGCTTCAGCCTCGGCCGAACTGGCTACGGCACCTGGGCACCTGCGACCGAACCGACCGGCGGTTCAGACCGAAGAAAGCGGGTCGGGCCTTCGATCTTCAGGCCATAGTTCAAATTGAAATAAGAATGCCTGGTGGAGCCCGGACTTTCCACCGGTTGCCTGGTGGAGCCCGGACTCTCCACCGGTTGACGGTGCCCGGAGTTTAATCCTGCCACTTAGCTTGATCGATAGCAATTAGGTTGGCCCAAACGGGTTTGATCAAAAACAGGTGTGATCAAGGTTTGGTCGACAAAGAAACACAGATTAAGTTTCACTGGTTACTGATGAGATAGGATTTTACGGACCATGTTTTGGAATACACCAGGACACATGAGATAGGACTAGGTCGTCATCAAGAATCCTGGGACACATGAGATGGAAAAGGGTGTGTTCACTGACCCCTGCCTTTTCGGCCTATCTCATGCGTCCGCATTGCCAAGAATGCAGTGAACATTGGGGAAACTAAGCTGGAAACAATGCCAAGTAAGCCTTTGAAACTCCAAAACCGCAGTCAATCCAGTTCGAAACATTTTGTCTAACTCCAGTGCTTTCAAGCGTTTTGTCAGCTGACTATGCTGCACCAGCGGGCTTAATGTAAAGATCCCAGTGAACGCTCCAATGTAAACTTGTTTTGGGGCCCACAAGTGGCCCCAGACCACATGAGGAAAGTGTATGGACACTTTTTTTGCTATGCTTTAGGCACGTGAGATGTGCCAACCTCAACCGGTGCATACGTTTCACTACTCCCATCTCATTAGCATCTAGATGCGTCTAGTATATATATATATATAGGTTGATACAAGCGAGCGAACAAACTGTTCTTAGCTGTTTTACAGAGGAGCTGCAGCACAGGAGCCTACGTCAATGTGTTCATGTTCTGTCTGTTCTGTTGTGTGTTTAACGGTCCACACCCTAGCAACTCCCCTAGCAGCAAAGGCCCTCACCTTGAGCTCCAAAGACACTGTTTTTCTACGTTTCGGTTTTTGGTCAAATATAATTTATGTGTTTGCTCGAAAAACGCGTTTGCAAAGATGAGGACCCAAAAAAAGGTACAGAGTGAATCTTCATCCGGATGCGTCCGGTGCGGACGCTTAAAGACGCCTTTTGGACACCTTTGGGGCGCCGAAAAAAGGTCTCAGGACACTAAGGAGGATCTGACAGGGCACAAACAAACAAACAGTAACATTTCGTGAAATATGCAAAAAACAAGTGCATTCTTTCAGACACATGTTCTGACGACAGTCGTTTTCACCATGCTGGTCTCCCACTGAGAAAGGCTTCATCCGCACAACGTCTCCCTTCGATTGAGTCGATTCTGTAGAGTGAGGGAAAAACAACGCATCAGCTCGCAACCCGTTGAAACCCAAAGGGTGCACATCACTGACTCATGAGATCTAAACCCATGAACCCACAATTTACTCCTTCGCTCATATGCTCCACCCCACAAGTACCAAATCCCCATGCAAACTCGCCACAGCAAATGCTTGGCGGCCAGGGTCTGCAGGCGTTCCTGGTGCTTCGGCAGCGCCTGAAATGTTGGTGCCATCCAGGCCTCCAGGCGGCACGCGATTGGTGTGAAGCGGCTGGGATGGTGTGGAGTACGTGCGGCGTGGGGGGTTTGGTCTAAGGTCTTCCAAGACTCTTTTTGACCACCTGAGATGAATCTCAAAAGAAGGTCTTGGTAGGTTCCACCTCCCGCTTACAAGAGGTGCATAAAGCAACATAGATCAACATAGTCAAACGCAACAAAACATAAGCACATCATATAAATCATACTCTAAATCATATGATCGCAGTGTTGGTCAATGATGGTTGCCTCTTTGGTTTGACCGACCGCTGACCAACCAGCCCGAACCAGCACGGCCGGCAAGCGGCCGGGACGGACATGAGCAAATCCGGTAAAAGCCACATACGAGTGCTTGGCTCGTCTGGTGGAGTGACTCGCCCTCATCCATGGTCAAAGGTGTCCATGAAAGTCGGTGCCAGTGGCCAATCCAAATAATTAACTGCATCCTTATGCATCCAAATGCATCAACCACCCAGGTGAAGTCGTTGACTGTTGGTCTAACATATTGTCGGTGCACTTACAGTAAATATGTTAATCTCTGCAGTACAGTCCTATCAAGCTTTGCAACATCATGCAATGTTCCATCAACGGCCTCCCCATAAGCCACAACAAGGGCATCTTGGGCTTGAAGGGTCCAGATTTCTGATCTCATCAACCCACAGGCTGAGAATTCAAACCACACACGCCAGAATTTTCAACCATCGAATCCGAATCTGACAAATCCACACGCACTTCACTTAGCACTTCGTCCGAAGTAAGAATAAAACATACAAACATCTCGACGGAGCACCTCGATCGACTCGATGGAGGTTTTGGTCTCCTCATCATTCCTCGGCGTCCCAATCCACCGGGTCCCACGGTCCCCACGGTCCAAGCGAGCGGACGCTCCAGCCGCCACGAGCGGACATGTCAGACGGTCGGACGTTGATGTTTTTCAGGCGGCGCTACGTACTGTGGCATCAAGGAAGCTTATGTCCAATTAGGCACCCAAGCCAGACTTGGGTGCCCAAGTCTTGTCATGGTGGTCTGCACATGTCTGCACAGTACGTACTCCGCACACGTGTGTGATCATGTGCGTGACTTCACAAATCTTCCAAGCTACGCTGAACGCTGCTGAACCCAAAAAAAATCGGAGTCAAATGAGCGGTCCCCGCCAAGTATGTATCCCGTTCCAGGAGCCAGGAGCCACAATAATACATGACACATACCCTTCGGCGCAGGCCCTAGCAGCTAGCATAGAATCTAAAAAACAAAGTCAGTCTGCCTCAATTCTGCTGCTGGTCCCCATGGCCAGTTCATACTGGCGCGGCCAATCAAGAGTAGTCAAGGTTCAAAAAATGTCAAAAGCATTCAAAAGCTAGTTTGCAGGTCCAACTCAACACTTGATGGACTGGTGGATATTAGATGATATGAGTGGAGCATTCTTCAACACCTGAGAGGTCTCATGAGGTCTCCTTCATTCTCGATGTTCAGCAGGGTTTCTCATGCAATCCATCCAGCACATCTTGCAGGGATGAGTCCTGGTCAAGCGGTCGGACCGCGAGCCCCCTTTCTCGCCCCTCGGTTGCTGGGGGATGCCAATGACCACCGGACCAAAGAGCCCGATGTGTAACTGTAAGCCACCTGTAGCTTCCTAGTAGCAATGCCCTGGCTCCTAGTAACAATGGTTACACCGGCAAGGGACCCCAAATAGTGTAAAGAGGATCAGATGGAACATGGCATCACGTGGAAGGAAAGAAGGAGCACACAGATGAGAGCACAAATATGAGAGGATACATACAAGAACACAAATGTGAGAGTGCACAGATGAGAGCAGCAGATGCGGAAGCATGTGAAAGACCAGAGGGACCAGGCGTGAGTTTGTAAGGAGGAGAGTGCGACCAACGTAGTGCCAAAAATGCTAGAGTAGTATGGCTTGAAGGTCGTTGTAAAACAAAAAGCTACGACTGCAGACGCGCATGTTTTCCGCGTGTGCATGCAGTGGCAAGCTGCGAGTGCGTGCGACTCCGATGCGAGGGGCCGCCCCAGCGCAACCGCATGGGACGAGGTAAAGGATGCGACGAAGCCGGAGAGTAGACTGTCAGCTTGTGGAGGATATCAGGACGCAAGCCATGCATCATACTCGGCATCCACGTGGCACCAAAGAACCCGGCCGCCGCGCGAAATCGGATTGGCGGCACGCGCCTCCAAAAGAGTCAACGACAAGGGGGCCAGGTATGGTTCCATGTTTGAGCAGAGCCTTCACCCACACGGGGTTGCCACAAGTGCGTTTGAGGTAAGCAAAAAAATACCCTCGCTTCCTGACGCTATTTTGACGCCACTGGCGGGGCGTCAACTCCGCCTCACACCATGCCCGTTGCCAATCGAGCCAGGTCGTGGTGAACATAGACTCCGACATGAGCTGAGAATCCGCGCACACGAGGAAAAATAAAAAAAGAACACAGAAGCCCCTTCGAAACCTTGTCTGACATGCAACCGACATGCCATGAAAACCATGCAAACCTTTCATGCAACTCAAGCGTCAGATTCAAATCAGACGGTGAGCTCGAAAAACTGAGCAGCCACACTTTAAATTCCGCCTCATCCCGAAACAGAAATAGCAGAGATGTAAAACGAGACGAGGTCAGAATTGCTTGGATGCGTTCCGCGCGCACCCGCAGCGGAAAAGCAGCATGGAGGCAGACAATCCCGCGCGCAACCGCAGCGGATCAGCACAGTTGACTGCAGTTGACGCAGTGACATCAAGAAAGTCGGGGACGCCAGACCCCAATCTCTCCCGTGGTCGGCTGGAATGGGTGCGTGTCGTCGGTGTATTCCCCACGCGAGCGCGCAACCGCAGCTCGGAATGCATCACTGTCGTGGACCTGTGCAACCGTGTGGAGCGCCAGCTGAGTTCGCATCCAATGGTGGACCCCATGCTGGGCCAGTGTGAGGGCAAGCGTTTTTTGTGACCAAACCATTTCTGCCAATAGAGACGCTGCAGTTGTCGCGCTTTCATTGCGGGACGCTCACCGCTGTCATAGTCGACAGCCCACTGCAGCACCATCCGATCCATTGCTTGGCACTCGGCGTCCGTGCATAGATGGCCATCGGGTCCAGCTCCCAGATATTCAACGCGAAGAACCATCGCGCGATACCAGTAGCGGAGCAGTATGTCACCCAGCGCCAGATTGTCTCGCAGCTCTTGTCGCTTCAGCAGACGCAAGACCAGGTGCAAAGCCGTGTGGTCTTCTTGCTGCCGCGAGTAGTCAAACCAGGTGGAAAGATACTGTCTGCAGAAGTACGTCAGCTGCTGCGCCTGATAGAAAAGGACCTCATCGCCATAGTACTCACAAAACTCTTCCCGTGCTGCGCAGGTCACGCAATCTGCACATCTAGATTCACAAAGTGCTGCGCCTGCCACGAAATCTGCACATCGAGCTTCACAAAGTGCTGCGCCTGCCACGAAATCTGCACATCGAGATTCACAAAGTGCTGCGCCTGCCACGAAATCTGCACATCGGAGATCCAAACTGAGCAAATCCTGGGACAGCCCAGTGGTAAAAAAAACTATCACCGTGTAAAGTGGCGTATTTACGCCACTGTGGCCAATTTCTTATCACTGTGGCAGGTTTGCCTTTCCAGCGCACTTTTGCCAATGTTTCCACTAGTCATGTGCAACTGTACCAAGCCCTATGTTTTCTACCTATGGCTGCGCGTGAACTTGCTCAAGTATTTGGCCTTCACAGTTCTATATGCATAACTTGTGAACCAAGAAAGGCAAATGCATGCAAGCACTATCACACAAGCACAGCTATAGAATATTTTGAAACTTCCGCCATTGGCTTTCTATTGCCTTAAGGAGTATGAGGATTTTTTGAAGTGGTCCAAACGCAAAAAGAAGTCACACAGAACAAATGTTGAATTTTTTGGGAGGGCGCTGTGATTGTATGTAGTTTTTTTTAAACATGTGTTACACGATGCTTGCAAGCTTTGCGGTTTGACGTGTCGCCGTCTAATTTCCGCAGCTGTTTCACTCCTGCAGCCATTTCTTTGAGGGCGCACATGAAGATCGTGAACCCCCAAGCGCTTCCAATTCTAGTTTCCTGTTTAACCCAATCCTAAATATGGACCATGTTAATGTACTAGTATAGTGCCTGACAAAAATAGGTTTTTTGACAACAGATTAAACGTCGGTGCGATGTGGTGGTGCGCGCGCGCGGGTAGGCGTGGCTGACAACGCTCGATCTTTTTTGTCAGACGCGCCCACAGCGATCATCTGCAGGTGCATGATCCTGCGCGCCAACGGAGGCGTGCCCAATTGACGCAGAGGATCTTTTTGCATATCTTGAATAAACACCTGAGTATCGTGATGAGTTTTTTGGCCCAAAAATGATGGGGCTACGACTGGCCCGCCGATGGGAGAATCGGTGCATCATCCGGGCTCGGGTCCGGAACCAAAATCCATGGATCAGAGAACCATCACGCTCGAGAAAAGATGGTGTGGATGGCAATGGGGACGAGGAGGCTGATGATGGACCACCTCTGAACACAGAATTCCTCATGCACAACTGCGCCATGTTGTACGAGATGCTTGATAGCTGGGGCCTTCGCCCAAAGCCCAATTTAGAACGGATCCAAAAAGAGGCTGGGAAGCCGGGCTCTGGTGTGAAGATTTTTTGTTGTTTGATCATGGTTGGATGATGTTGGATGGTTTAATCCTTTGAATGAAGCCGCGTTCTCATCAGGTGGAGGTGTTCTACAGCTATTTGGGCATGGCACCAGCGGCGAACCAAACATACAAAGACGCATGGAACATCAAGCGGCTGTGGGGCTTCGCTACCAGGCGCCAAAAAGACGCAGCGAACAGGATGCAAACACCAAAAGAAACTTGTTTGGTAATTTGGCCAGGTTTTCTTTGAATTGTTTATGTAAAAGTTTAGATGGTCACAGTTTCTTTGAAGGGGGTCGTTTGTGTTTTTTAGGATGCCGACGTCCGGAAGCTGTTCGAGTTGATCGCGCATCTTCGAGCGCAGAAGGGCTTTCCCAACCACTTGGTCGCCCATGGCCCTCGAGATCCTGAAGGTGATGAAGCCAGCGACCAGGTCGGGTCCTGCAGAGCGCATGTCTCACACTATTTTATTCCATGTCTCGGTTCGATAGAACCCAACAAGGCCCCATGCACAGGAGTGTTCAATTGCAACCTGTAGGACACTTCGGATGGTGATGGTGAGGAATCGCTTGAGGAGAGCCCCAGTCGTGGGGTTGGTGAAGGCGGTGAAGAGGAAGGTTGTCCCGCGGACAAAAAGGAGGTGGTGGACACCGAGACTGGGGTTCCAGAACGGGTGGAGGAGCGGCCACCTATGGATGTTGAGATCATCGATATCGCCACCCCATCCCCCCCTCGGGATCAGCAGGCGGCCAAGATCGCTAAACTGCAGTTGGAATTGGTTCGGCTACAGGAATTGGTCGCCAAGAGGAAATCCATGAAATCCATGGGAAATTCAACTGAGCTTATGCACTTCTTTCCATTTTTTCATATCAAATTATATATATGACTTCGGTTTGCTTTTGGAACGTTGCACCGCTTTTGAAAAGATAGATGGACTGTTTCCTATTCACCCTAATTCTCCAGCTCAGCCCGGCTAGACCCGTGTCCCAGGTAAAGCTCCTGCAGCTCCTGCGCTGCCTTCGACCGCAGCGCCTGCCACTGGCAAGGGTTCGCCAGCTGTGCCAATGGAACAGGCGCATGGGTGGCAAGATGGGTTAGGGTACTCGATCTTTCAGCCTTTGATTCACATGTGTTCGTGTCTGCAAAACTTGCATACGAAGACAATTCGATAGACACTTCAATGTCAATTTCTTGAACTAAAACAGGTGGATACACTTCCGATGTCTTCGGCCAGTATCATTGATGTCGGAGAATCACCGCGACCGGCGCCGGGGACTGCGACTGAGAGGAGGGGCTATTTCGCTGGCCGTGGTTTCAGCGAAGAGATGAAGAAGAAGCATGAGCCATGCATGTTTAACAAAAACAGTAACAAAAACATAGTTTGTCTTTTAACCTTATTAATTGTTTGCCCCTGCGTGCGCCAAAAAAAGAAAAACGCATTCACAACTCCCATCCCTAAACCACTCAGGAAGTTGAGCCCCCGAGCGCACCGCATCCAGATGCACCAGCGGAAGCTGAGCCTGCGGCCGGTGAGGTTGAAGTGACCCCGGAGATGCAACGTGAATTGCGCAGCTCAACCAAAGAAGACAACAAGAATAAAAAGAAAAAGCACAAGAAGAAGAGCAAACGACAGATCTTAAGGTCAGAAAGCAAGAGAAAGAAGCCTGAGAAAAAGAAGAAGAAGAAGAAGAAGACAAAGGGCGAGAGTAAGCAGAAGCTAGCGGCTGAGAAGAAGAAGAAGAATAAGAAAGAGAAGACTGAGAAAAAACCAGCCGACGAACCAGCCACCAGAACGAGACGGCGGAAGTTTTCTGAGGATGAGCTGAAAAAGCTTGTTGCCAAAGTTGGGCCGACCGCTCGGTTGTCCAA